GGGAGAGGCCTAATTAGCTATTTTGCAAGCATAAAGCAGACTGTAATTCGGTGAACGTGATCAGTTGCAATTCCATTAGCTGTGTGGGGACAGTCGTTACAACTAATTTGAAAGACCCAGAAAGTGGACGCGTACATCGGAATGAGAAGCATTACCAACGGCAACGACATCCTTCGAACGTTACACAGCTGAGTTTGACTACAATGATCATCTGCGTAATGCTGCTGCTAGGAAAGCCAACTGAGCACGCTGTCTCTGGAGATACCCAAGTACACCAGTTTGTTCGCTTCGATCCAAAATGGCAGATTCTTTTTCGACGGAGATGATCACCACAAATTTGGTAGGACCCTGAAGGACGAGGACATCGGAGGCTCTCTGAGTAACTTCACCATCTTTCGGACGTTTCACTGCAGTCGATCCGTTAGGCTAACTACAAAATTGATCACCTGCAAGATTTAAACCGCTTTTCATGGTGTAAGCACGCCATCCCGGAAGTAAAGGGTGATAAGGTCAAAATTTGGTCAAGGGAAAACGCGTGTAAATCGGTGAAATCGTTTATTTAAAAAATCAAATTAAATTTCTTTTTCAAGTTCAATTAGTATAAAATTCAAGAAAAATATTCAGTTAGGCTTCCGCTTTTCCAAATCCGAATTGCCGGGCCTTACGCTTGACCCCTGCCATCAGATTTTGTACAGCCACCTTGTCCACCTTCTTCGCCGCAGAAAGCCAGTTTGCCTTGAACTGCTGCTCGCCCTTAGCAGTTTTTTTGGTCTTCTTTAGGTTCCGCTTGACAATAGCCCAGTATTTCTCAATTGGGCGGAGCTCTGGCGTGTTGGGAGGGTTCTTGTCCTTGGGAACCACCTGCACGTTGTTGGCGGCGTACCACTCCATGGCCTTTTTACCGTAATGGCAAGATGCCAAATCCGGCCAAAACAGTACGGAACAACCGTGTTTCTTCAGGAAAGGCAGCAGACGTTTATTCAAACACTCTTTCATGTAAATTTCTTGGTTGACAGTCCCGGAAGCTATGCAAATGCTGCTTTTGAAGCCACAGGTACAGATGGCTTGCCAAACCAGATATTTCTTTGCGAACTTTGACAGTTTCATGTGCTTGAAAACATCTGCTACCTTTCCCCTTCCTTTTGCCGTATAAAACTCCTGTCCCGGAAGCTGCTTGTAGTCGGCTTTGACGTAGGTTTCGTCGTCCATTACCACGCAGTCAAACTTCGTCAGCATCGTCGTGTACAGCCTCCGAGATCGCGCTTTGGCCGTCGTATTTTGTTTATCATCGCGATTTGGAGTCACTACCTTCTTGTAAGTCGATAGTCCGGCTCGTTTTTTGGCTCGATGCACGGTTGTAGACGATACACCCAGCTTATTTGCGGCATCTCGGAGAGAGAGGTTAGGGTTTCGCTTGAAACTACCGGCAACTCTCTTTGTCGTCTCAGCGGCTTCCGGTTTTCGATTTCCCCCCGATCCAGACTTCCTGGCTGTCGACAAACGTTCCCCAAACACTTTAATTACATTTGTAACGGTTGATTTGGCAACTTTTAGCGATTTTGCCAACTTTGCGTGCGAGTAGCTCGGATTTTCGCGATGCGCGAGCAAAATTTTGATACGCTGCTCTTCTTGCTTGGACGGCATTTTGACAACTGAAGAGTGAATTCCAAAATCAAAATAGGAGCAACATTCTACACACACACACCTTCAAAATGAGGGGTGTTCAGGTTTTTTAAATGCAAAATTGAAAGAAATACGTCAAGTTGATATTGACCAATTTTTGACCGTATCACCCTTACCAGCATGTTAATGGCTTTTTTCAGGGCCACTATATTCCTATAGTATCTCATTTATGATCTCTAGGTGGTGGGTAAAACAGTTTCGCAAAATTGAAATAATTTTGAGCCATGGAGAGAAACAACAGCAAAGAATCATCAATCAGTACCAATATCAGTGTTCGGAAAATCTCCGTCTTCGTGAGAGAATAAATTTGCGTAAATCATCCAGCTCTGAACCCACCCACAGACGTCAATTGGTAGCACGTTTATGCATTTCGTGTTAGTTCTCCATCTACTGAAGCAGTTACAAGAGCAATATCAAAAAACAGCGCCAAAATAAAAGGAGCGTCAAAAGGCAATAGCGATTAGTACCTATTCGTTCCGTACCCTTCAACTCCAACAACCCTTTCAATGGACACCAGGAAAAAACAACAAACGGCCCTTGTAATTTGAAAAACAAAAGGCCCTTTTCAGGGCCAAAAACCAACAAACAAACGGCCTTTTCAGGGCCACCAATTCAAATACAGAAGGAGTTAAGACAATAGATTTTCGAACAATTAAAAGAACTAAAGGCTCAACATATTTGTTCCGTCCACTAGGGGTCCTACGTCAAGCTTCCGTTCGTGCTCCTAGGCACAGACTCTTCTACTTTTTTCTTTAAATATATGAATTGAACTACCAAAAGAAAAATAAGAAGATTTTTGTGATATGAACTTTGACTGAAAGAAACGATTTTTTGTCGACCAATTTTTGCGCGTTCCAGTCTTTAATTACCACCACTGTATGTTCATTTTATTCCCATCTCATGTACATCGTGTCTGTATATATATCTTCACACTTTATGTTCAATTTACCCCCATTACATGTTCATTTTACCCGCATACATAAAATTCAGCCTTGTATTTGGAGTTGGTGAAAATACAGGAATTATAATGACAACTTGTTGCTTCTGATACATTGCTCTAGTCTACTGTTTAGAATATGATTTTTTTCAGGTAGAGTTCGTATCTGTTGCTGAATGAGGCACTCAGCGGTAATCTTCCTCCAGCGTTTGTCGATGGCATCATCGTGCTGGTAAAGAAGAGGGGCGGCGACGACAAAGCCCGTTCATATCGTCCGATCTTGCTGCTCAACAGCGCATTCTCAAACCAGACTCGAGCAAGTGATGAGAGATCACCACGTCTTGAGCGACGAGCAGAAATGATCCAATTCAGAGCACAACATCTTTCAAGACACTCTTGCTCTCAAGGACCGGATAGCACATCTCCGCCACCACCACCGTGTCGGGAAGTTAATCAGCTTTGATCTCGATCACGCTTTCGATCGGGTCCGGCACTCTTTTCTCTTCGAAACCATTCAACCAGGATCTCATCGCTCTACTCTCGCGAATCGCCAGCCGGTCCACCTCTCGGCTGTTGAGCAATGGGCACCTTTCTCGTCCGTTCGAAATTCAACGCTCTGTACGGCAAGGGGATCCGCTATCCATGCACCTCTTCGTTCTCTACATACATCCATTAGTGTGCAGACTCGAAAGAGTATGCGGGAATGATCTGCTGAAGGCGTATGCGGACGACATCAGTGTGATCGTCACATCGACCAGGCAAATCGATGAGATAAATAGGCTGTTCACTCGTTTCGAGAGAGCTGCTGGCGGAAAATTAAATTTGCGGAAAACTGTTGCCGTAGATGTTGGCCTCTGCGAAGGCAACAGAATCAACAGTCAGTGGCTACAAACAGTCAATGTAGTTAAAATTCTGGGTGTTGTTTTCACAAATTCAATACGACTGATGACAACGATGAACTGGAATGCGCTAGTGGGGAAGTTCGCGCAACTAATGTGGCTGCATTCTCTGCGCACGCTGACGCTGCACCAAAGGGTCATCATGCTCAACACGTTCGGAACGTCCAGGATATGGTACCTCGCGTCCAGTTGGGAGTGCATACGGCAAAAATAACATCAGCAATGGGTACGTTCCTCTGGAGAGGGACTGTCGCCCGTGTTCCAATGATGCAGCTGGCACGCAGCAGAGATAATGGAGGCCTGAAGCTGCAATTACCAGCACTGAAATGTAAGTCACTCGCAATCAACCGACACCTACAAGAGATCGAATCCCTTCCTTTTTATAGATCCCTTCTTTTCCACGATAATCCCCGCCCAGCCATCTCAATAGATCTTCCCGACCTTAGACAAATCCTATCAAACTTATCCCAAATTCCCCACCAAATCCAACAGAACCCCTCCACCGATCAAATTCACAAGGAACTTCATCCAGCAAACTGAGCTACCAAGGGTGGAACGTAACAGTCCAGCAAGTTACTGGTCACGCACATGGCTAAACATTGCATCGAGGCAACTTACTTCAGCGCAGAGGACGAAGCTTTACTTGTTGGTGAACGAGAAGATAGAGCACCGCAAACTGCTATTCGTGATGCGGCGAGTAGATGACGAAAACTGTACGCATTGTGGCAATCTGTCCCACAAATTTTGCGCTTGTGCTCGCGTCGGCCCGGCTTGGGCGGTTCTTCAGCAGTGAATAGCAGTCATCTTGGGTGGATGGAGGCGACTCGAGTTTGAAGACTTGCTAAGACCTGCCTTATTAGGAATAAACGGCAGACATAGAGTGGCAATTCTGAATATGTTTATTGCATATATCTGCTTCGTTAACGATTGTAACGGTAGAATTGATATATGTAGCTGATTTGAACTTCCATCTTGATGTAGCAAATTGACGGTAAAACAAAAAAAACTTTCTATGCTAAACTGACAAATAAAACTTCACTTTTACAAAAAAAAAATAATGGAAGCTTTACTTTATGCAGTACGTGCAACATTGTATTGGTTTAAAGAAGGGAAAACGATGAAATTGCTTAGAGTGTTCATTTTACCCCCAGTTGCCCTAATACGTTGGAGACCGAAAGAAAGAAATGCTGGTTGAACATTTAGTATCGAGTGATTCGTGAACCTGGTATTTGCAGTGTTAGTACATGGATAACCGACTTCGTAGGAATCGAATTATTCAAAGATCTTCATTCTTTCAAATGCGAAGACCACAAACTAAATGAACATGCTTACAAGCAAGCACTAAAATAATCGTAGACTTGTGTTATCAATAGGATTTACCTATTTATGGGTACTATAAAAATCACATCGACGATTTTTTCCAGCCGATAAGATTAGCAATTCATCCACTTAAAAATAAGTATTTAAACCAAGCTATGTCCCAGTGAACGTGGTACTTCTAATTGAACCAGTTTAAGTAAGGGACGTTGAGATGAAATTGCTCATTGTAGCCTTACTGCTAGGGTCACTTGCCTTTTTGGAGGCTGACAAAAAAGTGTTTTGGGAAAATCTACACCGAGAGCCTCCGATTCGAGGATACTCGTTGAACAGCACCAGGCAGGCTGAGACGAAATGGATTATGCAGTACGTTGACAATTTTGACCCACAAAACCCATCAACATGGAGCATGGTATGTTTAAATTACGTAATTTGTGACACGTTTATGATATAACTAGGTTTTTACTTTCTTTGGCAGCGTTACATCGAAAATGGCGAACACTACCAACCAGGAGGACCCCTTTTTATATTTTTAGGAGGTGAATGGGAAGTTAACTCCGGTACCGTTCTACAGGGCCATTTTTACGACATGGCAAAAGAGTTGGGAGCTTATTTGTTTTACACCGAGCATCGATACTATGGTCAGAGCCACCCTACCGCGTAAGTGACTATAATTATAATTATTTATAGTCGATGGTTATAACACTGTCGCGGATTTTTTAGGAGCACTCGAACCGACTTGTTGAAATTTCTGAATGTTGATCAAGCATTAGCAGATGTGGCACATTTCGTGGAGGAAATGAAGAGAACAATTCCAGGGGCCACGAATTCTAAAATAATCATGGCAGGTGGTTCTTACTCCGCTACGATGGTGGCGTGGTTCAGACAGAAGTATCCTCATTTGTTGGACGGTGGTTGGGCCTCCAGTGCTCCATTATTGGCTAAACTTGACTTTACCGGTACGCTCCTTCTAAGGTACCTGCCCGATAAGGCTATAGTAAAAATGTTCATTTTGTTTCAGAGTACAAAGAAGTAGTATCCGAATCAATTCGCCTGGTTGGAGGTGAAAACTGTGCCAACAGAATTGAGCGCGCTTACAAAGAAATTGAAGATTATTTGGCCAAAAAGGAATTTGAGAGAGTACTTGAAGAGTTTAAAATATGTGATAATATCGACTTAGCAAACATTTTAGATTCTGGAATGTTTTTGAGCTCCATATCAGACTACATTGCTGGTGTTGTGCAGTACCACTGGCCAGGGGACATTGAAGGAGTTTGCGAAATTATCAACGATGAGGCTATTACGAACGATATGACCGCCTTAGCAAACTGGTTCACTAGAGGTGTTACTAGCTGCATGGATCTAACTTATGATAGCACAATACGTTACTACAGATCAACCGATTGGAATCATGGTGCCAATAGAGGAGCAAGTCGGTAAATATGAAAGTGAATCATTCGCAATCTTATGATTATGTTATTCTTACAGTGAGACCGTGGTTATATCAGACGTGTGCTGAATATGGGTGGTATCAAACATCAGGTTCGGACATGCAAATATTTGGATCCGGTTTTCCAGTTGATCTTTACATAAAAATGTGTATCGATTTGTATGATTACTTGTTAGTGTCAATTTTGTTGTTTCATTTGTCAAGGAGATCATTAAGAATTTATTTCAATTCGCTTAGATTTTACCAGACTAGAATAGAGGCAAATATTGAACGGACCAACACCATCTACGGGCATATGAACCCAGCGGTTACGAATATATTTTTCACACAAGGACAACTTGATCCTTGGCGGCCTATGGGATTGCAAGAGGACTTGAACGAGCATTCACCAGCTGTTGTTATCCCTAGTAATTACCAATATTCATTGGAGATTAATGTAAAATAATCCCTAACCTTCATGTATTTGCATTACAGTGGCTTCTCACTGCGCGGATTTGAATTCCATCAGCGACAGGGATTCTCCAGAAATGAGAGCAGCAAAGGAACGAGTATTTGATCTTATCAAGCAGTGGGTTTTATAATCCCTCAACAGGATAACTGCTGGTTACCATATTATTGTGTGATACTTAAAAGTGTTGATTGATACTAAAAAGGAATCAATAAATCATCATAAGTAACGATTGACACTCTTCTAGCACATCTAAACTCTGAGTATAATGAAGATTGGAGTATTGACCTCCTAAAAGAACTCACAGAACATATCTTGTTTTGTGTCTCAGCGACTATGCATTAAGTTTGTACACTACCCGTCATAAGTGACGACTCGCGTGGAAAAGTATTGCAACACTCATTTGAATATTGCATCACCTGAAAAAGTTTAGCATCTCCCAAGAAAAGTTTATATTTTCACTAAAATTTGAACAAATTCACTGTATCACTGTTAAATTATTGTAGTAAACATTCAGAAAGCCAGAATTAGACTATGAAAGTGTTGCAGAAAGTGATGGCTCCCGGTAGAGAAGTTAGATATCACTATGGATAGTACTGAATCATTTCGAGCTAGAAATCATTACAAATTTATTGATCTAGTAGATAAGTTTGAAATCACTATAAATAGGAAACCATTAAATATATATTACCCGCCATAAGAATAATATCGCTCCACGGAGAATCAGACCTGAATCTCTTGAAGTCGTTCCGATTCTATACACAAAAGTTTGGTATGATTTGAATTTGAAGTGAATCAGAACTGAAAAGTTTGAAATCACTTGAATTTGATGTGAATCGGACATGAAAAGCTTAGAATCACATGAATTTGATGTGAATCAGAGCTGAAAAGTTTGAAATCACTTGAATTGGATGTGAATCAGACCTGAAAAGTTCCGAATTACTTGAATTGGATGTGAATCAGACCTTAAAAGTTTGAAATCACTTGAATTTGATGTAAATCAGACCTGAAAAGTTTGAAATCACTTGAATTGGATGTGAATCAGACCTGAAAAGTTCCGAATTACTTGAATTGGATGTGAATCAGACCTTAAAAGTTTGAAATCACTTGAATTGGATGTGAATCAGACCTGAAAAGTTTGAAATCACTTGAATTGGATGTAAATCAGAGCTGAAAAGTTTGAAATCACTTGAATTGGATGTGAATCAGACCTGAAAAGTTCCGAATTACTTGAATTGGATGTGAATCAGACCTTAAAAGTTTGAAATCACTTGAATTTGATGTGAATCGGACATGAAAAGCTTAGAATCACATGAATTTGATGTGAATCAGAGCTGAAAAGTTTGAAATCACTTGAATTGGATGTGAATCAGACCTGAAAAGTTCCGAATTACTTGAATTGGATGTGAATCAGACCTTAAAAGTTTGAAATCACTTGAATTTGATGTAAATCAGACCTGAAAAGTTTGAAATCACTTGAATTGGATGTGAATCAGACCTGAAAAGTTCCGAATTACTTGAATTGGATGTGAATCAGACCTTAAAAGTTTGAAATCACTTGAATTTGATGTAAATCAGACCTGAAAAGTTTGAAATCACTTGAATTGGATGTAAATCAGAGCTGAAAAGTTTGAAATCACTTTAATTTGATGTGAATCAGAGCTGAAAAGTTTGAAATCACTTGAATTGGATGTGAATCAGAGCTGAAAAGTTTGAAATCACTTGAATTGGGTGTGAATCACACCTGAAAAGTTTGAAATCACTTGAATTTGATGTGAATCAGACCTGAAAAGTTTGGAATCACTTGAATTGGATGTGAATCAGAGCTGAAAAGTTTGAAATCACTTGAATTGGATGTGAATCAGACCTGAAAAGTTTGGAATCACTTTAATTTGATGTGAATCAGACCTGAAAAGTTTGGAATCACTTGAATTTGATGTGAATCAGACCTGAAAAGTTTGAAATCACTTGAATTGGATGTGAATCAGACCTGAACGGTTTGGAATCACTTAAATCGATGTGTAGAAGAGCCCAATTTCCCAATTTCCCAATTTCTTTTTTATGCACTGGATCAGTTGAGGAAATTTTAAATTCAATTTGTTGTGTACAGAATCACTTCTGGAATGTATGGAATTAGATGATGAATATTTGAAAAACACTGAATGACTCGGGAGAAGTAAAGAATCACGGTGAAATTGGAGAGATTTCTTTGGGAAGTACTGATTTCGAAGTAAATAAGCGAAATAAAAAAAAACTCTTCAGGATACTTTGAAATCGCTTTTAGAAGTTTTGAAACCACTTCACTTCAGAAAATTAGGAAATACCGAAATGTTAAATAATTCTAAAAAAGTTCAAAATTATTTCGGATTCAATCAGAATACAAGTTTTTTGTACAGCTTAAATTTACTCTAGAATCGCTTAAACATTTTTTTATTTGAACCAATCAGATTTTAGATTCCTCGAAATATGCTCCATTCACATTTATCACCGCCTTGCACACCCTGGGCATCCGCTCGATCAATTTTCTTATAGCATCATCATCTATTTGTTGCCAACACCGCTGTAGGCATTCCCAAAGATGTTCATGATTTTGTTGTCTAATTTTTCGAGTGGCCCGATCCAGCTCATCCCAGAGCAACTCGATGGGATTTAGATCAGGCGATTGCGCTGGCCAAACCATGTTGACCAATTCTCCTTTTTGTTTCTCTTCGTTTACAAATCCCCGACAGAGCTTTGACGAGTGTTTGGGGTCATTATCTTGTTGAAGGATAAAGCCCCGTCCAACAGGCCGTTTTCCGCTTGGAATTGCATTTTGCTGCAGTTTGTTGAGGTATCCTTCTTTATTGAGAATTTCGTTGATTCGAATTAAATCCCCAACACCGCTGGTTGCAAATGAACCCCAAACTAACACCGATCCTCCTCCGTGTTTTACGGTAGGTACTATGCAACTAGGGTTCATTCTTTCACCGACAAGACGGCGAACAAACACTCGCCGTTTATTCAGAATAGGTCGAATTTGGACTCGTCTGTAAATAGTGCTCTCGCCCACTGGTTTGTATCCCAGCTCTCGTGATCTTTGGCCCATTGCAGTCTTTTCATAATATTGACTTCTCGAAGCAGAGGTTTTTTTGTAGCAGCAATATGGCCTTTCAACCCTACTTCAAGCAGTCGTCGTTGCACTGTCGGAACGGATAGTGGTGTGCTTCTCATACTATTCAACTCTTCACGGATATCAGGGGCTATCCGTGTTCTTTCTCGTTTACTGAGAATCGTGGCATATTTGTCATCTCTTCTGGTTGTAATGCGTGACCTTCCACATCGCTTTCGGTTCTCATGTGAACGTGTGTCTTTGAAACGTTTCACACGCCCCGTAACGTGGGTAGATCACCTTTTCGTGGTACGTTACGGGATGTAAGATCTACCACCGATTCCTAGTCCTGACTACTTCAAACTAGGGGAACAGGATTTTTCAGTAATCCAAGGAACACATCTTAGTTCTTTGTTACTTTTTATGCCCTGTTGATAGTAACAAGACTCGGCTTTGTCTACCGAGGATGATCTTGAAATGAGTTAGTTGTCTTCATCTATGTAATTCCTAATCTTCTATTCGTTGTTCCCTAGTTTGAAGTGGTTAAGACTAGGGTTCTGATACATGGTCATTATCGGTGTCATACCTTAATTTTGTTGCTAAGTAATCCAATTTTGACTGACAAAAGGGCGCACCTTTGGAGGGTGTTTCAACACTCCGAAGGGTATATGTAGCGGGACCTTTCAATTAGAGTCGGATCCTAGCGATAAATGCAAGAGTGGCAACTGTAAAAACATCGAATAATACTTCATCATTTCGCAACAGTGATGGAGGAATACGACATGCACTAAACTAAGGACACGGGATATACTACAATAGATCAATTTACTGGTCGCAGTAGTGTTAGGCAACGCATTCGGCGCATGGATTGACCCATTGCAGCCATCTGCAATATCTGCGCTCGCTTATGATTGTCTACCCTCTTCCATGTTGCTGTCCTCATCCGGGAAGGAGTTATTACTGCACTGAAATAGTTTGTTTATAGAGCTTCACTGAAATAGTTGAAAACGTAAACCCGCTGGTGACAAATCGTCGTTTTACCCGTGTAAATTTGAACTGTTTTAGTAGTGTTTTGTGTTATAGAGTGCGAGTTAGTTTGGTGTACCTCTGTGAAGTGTAGGATTTTGTGTAGCTTTGTGGATAAGTTGAGAAATTGTAGATTAAAAGTGTCGTCCCGTGGAACAGTGGTGTCAATCTTCATTTTATTTACATTTTTTGTTTTGTATCTGTCGCTGCACTACTGCTGCCGTACTTAGCGTACCAAATTGTCAGCATCTCTTGTTGCATTACACTCTGCTACCGTACTTTTGCGTATTGAATAGTGTTTCTACGTCTGATTGCCTCGTTTCGCGCATCGGAAATTTGCTATAGTTTTTCGTTACGTGGTAGTCTTTGTTGCGTGTATAAAGTTTGCGTCGCATTTTTTGTGATCATGGCTTGCAAGAAGTGCCAAAAAACCATTTCGGACTCCGAACGTATTGTTTGTCGCGGTTTTTGTGGTGACACATTTCACGTGATTTGTGTCAAAGTTGATCTCGAACTTCTCGATCAACTTGGATTGTACGAGAAGAATGTCTTCTGGATGTTGCTCTTTCCTGCGATTCGTGGCCGGAGGGCATTCAGTTCCGTGAGTTCGATGATTCCCGGTCAAAGAAGGTGATCAAAATCACCCGTATTGGTCCAGCACAGTGACACCAGTTCCAGGATACTTCCTTTTCAATTACTAACGTGCTGTTGGGCGGATCTGGGACGCAACAACACAGCACTTCGGAAGCCTCTGATCCCTCCGAACCAGTCGAGCTGTTTGTAGATCTAATCATCAGAAGTCGTCCTGGCCCTGGTTTTGGAATCGGTGACAAGCTCTTCCAGCCTGTACTTGCAGGCAAGTATCGATACGTTCCAAAACCTTCTTTTTCTTAGCCACCTTCCGCTTCCAGCAGCGAATACTTAACGCAACCATCCGATCCAACCTCGCCTTCTGAAAACGACGTAGTAAGCTCGATGTCTTCTGAACTCTGGATGAACCAATCTGCTTTGCAACCGGGACGCATCGTGGAAAG